ATTTTACGATTCCGATTTCACCTAACCAAAACGATTTTAGGTAAAATCTCGATTTTGGGTAAAATCTCGATTTTGACAACCTTGGACCTAAGTGGAATCTTACTCTGTTTTAAGAAAATAATTATATTTTAATTTTGTTCCACAATACCGATTGGATTTTTTTTTTTTTTACAAGAGTAATAGTTAGGAAGTTAGTTTGAATTAGTTGTTAACAACTGGAGATTCGATCTCTAGACTGGATGAACATTTCACTCCATCAAATGAGGCGTGCGGCCATCGATTCGGTTTTTGATAGAGTTCATAACGATAGTAGAAATCGAAACCCCGATCACCTCACCCGAGCACTTAAGGTTTGGGGTCGAACCATTGAGTCTAAATACCCAATTCCAATTGGATTTTTCTGTGCCCAAGAAACAGAGGTCCAACAGAGGGAAACCACTGATAAGTACTTACACCACTGGTTTTTTCCAAGAAATTTGGAAACCCTGTTCTGAAAGATGTCAAGCCAGCTGAGCAAGTCGGACACAATAGAAAGTGCCTGAAACGCTGCCGAGAAAGCATAGAAATTGAAGACAAAAACATGGTTTGTTACTTGGTTGGTTACAGCCTTATGTGTTTGGTAATTGCTTGATCATATTCGCGCTTGTACGTTGACGGGTCGGGTCTAAAATTACTGCCAATGATGTAGTGTGACATGTGACATGTATAAAGATGAATTGTATTTTAATGGTCCATGACGAAGAATGCATTTACCATCTCGAGCTCTTAATTTCCAGATGAGGACGATGTCGTGATGCGCAAATGTATGAAAATAGGTCATTTTCATTTTTTTTTTGTACATTTAATAATAAATTATATAAAAATATATAATTTTTTTTAAAAACAAATTCGTAAGGCATTGGATTATAACCGCTGCCCGAGGTAGGAGGATGCACTTATACATGACCTGACGCCATTGAATCTGAAGGCCCAAGTGCATAAAAATATATAATTTTGTATTATAAGAATTTATATAAAACATATGTTGTCTTGAATGAAAAAAATTATTTATTAAGTTTTTAGGATTTTATGTATATACTAATTTTTTTTATGCAATGTTTTTTTTTCAAAACTTAATTTAATTTCAC